TTTAAAGAGAGAGGGAGAGCATGCAAGCAGGGGAGAGGGGCAGAAGGAGAGAGAGAGAATCTTAAGCAGACTCTACGCTCAGCATGGAGCTCAACGTGGGGCCCCATCCCACGATCCTGGGGTCATGACCTATGCTGAAATCAAGAGTCAGACCCTCAACTGACTAAGGCACCCTAAGAGCAAATTTTTTGCAGGGAGGAGGACCCTGAGACTCAGACTAACCTCACAGAGGCCTTAGGGTACCCAGGAGGAAGGGACAATGACCAGAATCATCCTGAAAATAACTCAGTTCTTAGACCCTTGACACTGGCAGCCCACATCAGCTAGGTGACAGGTGTGATATGTCAGAGATCTCCTGAGCCCCCAGCGAGAAGAACTGAGCCCTTCCTTCCCTAGGGATTGAGTAGAAAAGTAGGAGGATGGAAACAGGCTTAAGCATTTGAGTTTTTTTTGTCCTGTCTGTATCCTGGGATGAAGATTGCCTTTGGGCAAGTCACATCTCAATGGGCCTCAGTGTATTCTAGAAAACGAGAGGGTGGATTAGCTCCTTGGTGGAAAGGAGACAGTTGCCCTTAGGAAGCCTGGAGGAGGAGGTCTTGAGTATGCCTGCTTGGCATGAGAGATGATGGTTGGGATGGAAGCACACAGATGATGGAAATGGTGTGGAGGCCACAAAAGTTTGGGTCAAATGATCTCCCAGGTCCCTGCCAGCTCTGTCACCCTAGGACTCCCTCCCTCTTTCATTCCATTGGCAAACCCCTCCCCTTGAAGCTGCTTTACGTGCTGCCACCAATTACGTATAGGGCTGGGGGACAAGTGCAAACTTGCCATCCTCTCTGCCCCAAACAAGAGTGGTTAAAAAAGAAAAAAAAGAATTGGAGGTTGCCAGGTGGTGCCTGATCTACATGGGGGGACAGGGAGAGAGCTGAGGAGCCCCCCAAGGCAGGGAAGGGAGATTACACCATGCCTTGCTTTGTCTCTCTGCCTTGCCGTGCACACTCGTGTGAGCTTCTCTGCGTCCCTAGGGAGGAGGGCTCCAGCTCACCCCCCTCTAAACCACAGGTGAGGTGGGCATGAAGAATTCTATAGGGGCAGATTAGTAGGTTATCTCGGACCTTCTCTCTAATTCAGTATGATTTCTTGGTGCCTTGAGTGTGGACGTTGCCCTACCTTAGCTGCTAAGTCTCTGGGAGTTTCAGTGTCTTTAACTGTAGCTTCCTTTTTTTTTTTTTTTTTTTTTTTTTTTTTTTTCTCATTTTGCCAGCTTGTCCTCTGCTCCTCTAGGACTGGATGAACTTCCTCCACATCTGGGCAGAAAGGGCAGTTCCCTGCTCTGCTCCCCACCATCCAGTCTGGTTGCAGTCCATCCCCAGCCCTTCAGAGGATTCTGTAGGAGCAGAAGCAAGGCTTATATCACTGGGTACTGTGACCTGGGGGGCCAGTTCCATTGCCCTCTGCCCTGTCCACTTCTGCAGGGACTCACAACTGGGTAGTGATGCAGGAAGATGACAAGAAAGGAATAATGAGATGGCTCTTGCAAGTGGTATTACAAAAGCAATAGCATATGTCGTACCCTCACTGGCAGGAGTGAAATGTCCCTGGGTTCTCTGGGCCTCCAATATTCTCTCAGGCCACAATTTGCTGTCAGGCTGCACTTTCCTTCAGGATTGCTTCTGACATTCCATTTCTGTCAATTTTCCCCTGCAAATGTCTGGGGAGAGGACTGGGCTGGGGAACCCATAGCATATATACCTCGGTTCTGATCCTGCTTAGGGATACCTGTGCTGGGGCTCTGTCACACTCAGGGACTTCCCCTCCCCCGCCAAGTCTCCTTCCATGAGCCTTTGCTTTTTCTCTTGTCTTCTCAGCTTCCTCATCTATAAAATGGGTCCACTGACCCTCCTTGACAGGCAGTATAGTCTAATGGAGAACACATACAGGTCAGAATTAGCCCACGAACAAATGTCGGACCCTACAATTTTCCAGCCATCTATCTATTTTTGTTGAGTTATTTCACTTCTCTGAGCTTCCTCATCTACAAAACAGGTAGGATCACACACGACCTCAAATGTGGGCATGCATCAGTGTCTAACTACATTGGGCTCAAGAGTAAAAGAAATTCTGTGGTTCAAATCTCAGCTCTGTTAACTTTCTAGCTATGTGACTTCAGATAAGTTATTCATTGTCAGCTTCAGTTTTCTCTTCTGACAAAGGAAATAAAACCTCAAAATGTTATGGTGTTAATTCAATAAAATAACGAATGGACTCCCCTGCCCCCCACCTGGCACATAGTAGGCATTCAGTAGGCAATGACTATTGTTTTTTTTTTTTACTACTTCTCAGAAGGAAAAAAATCCACAATGTTTGATAGTAAAGGTACAGTAGTGCCTGGGAAGAAGTAGTTCTGTCCCAGACCCGACTTTGATGCTGCTGGTTGTGAGTACAGCCAATGGGGCTCAATTCTCACCCCCGGTAGGTTCTGTCACATGTTGTTACTGAGAAGTTTCCAGAAATGCCATGCATTACAACACACTGCGCTTGTCAACAGCACTTTCAAGTTGGAGAATAGAAGGAAATTCCCCTGCCAGGTAGGGTAGTTCCAGAATCCTTCTTTCCCTACCACCATGTACTTCCTACCCTGCGTTAAGAAGGCCCAGGCACTCAAACAAATTAGAGCTCATAGCTACCATTTACTGAGTGCTTTCTATGTGTGCCAGGCACTATAACAGGCACTCCACCACATGTCTATCAGGTAAGAATTGTTATCCCCTTTGTTGATGGGGAAACTGAGGCTCAAGAAGATCAGCCCACCCTGATGACTAAGAAGGGCAAAGCCAAGACTTGGGCCCAGGCTAGACTCTGAAGCTTGTGTACCTCCTCCTTCCTATGTGCTGCCTCCTCTGAATCCACAGAGACCTAACACATTCTGGCCACTGTTAATCATTTGGAGCAGGATGAGGGTCACAGACTAGCCCCTTCATACACAAGGGGTAATAGGGCAGTACCCTTGCTCAGAAGGATCATGTAGGAGTACAAAAGACTTTAGCCATCACATTTGTCTGATGATGAGATGTCACATGACTTGCCCAAGGTTAAAAAACATATTTAAGAGGCAAAGCTAGAAGCAGAATCCATGTCTTAACAGACTTTTGACTCTTGGATCACTGCTCCTTGGCCTGTACCCTCAGACCTACCAGTCCTACCGCTTCCAGTTCTAGCCCTTCCTCTTCCTCATGATTTGATCATCATGAATCCTTCCATCAATTGGCATATGGTACTTATCTCATCTCCTCCCCCAGTACACCCTGTCTGAGGCCCTCTAGGGTGTGCAAAAGAAATAGAAAATGTGGGGGCATCTGGGTGGCTCAGTCAGTTAAGTGCCTGACTCTTGATTTTGACTCAGGTCATGATCTCATGGTTTGTGAGATCAAGACCCCGCATTGGACTCTGTGTTGACAGCTTGGAGCCTGCTTGGGATTCTCTCCCTCTCTCTTCCCCTCCCCCACTCTCTCCCTTTCTCTCTCTTCCACTTTCCTGCTCGTGCTCTCTCTCAAATAAATAAACATAAAAAAAAAAAAAAAAGAAAGTCAGGAAACAGAAGTTGATCATCCAAGAAGACTTCATGGAAGAGGAGGGATTTGAGGTGAATCTTGATGATACTTAGAAATCGATGGATAAGATAGAAATATACACAAAAATCAGTGAGTGACAGAGAAAAAAGAGAATACTCAGAACAACTA